TTTCATTGTCTAGAGTGTCGATTGTGCAGATTTTTCTAGCGTTAAACATCAGAGTACTAATAATATTTCGTTTGTATGCTGCAGAAACAAACGACTTGAAATAAGTGTATTGGCCAACCCATGATTTACCCCAGAAAATACCCCTCTTAGTACTGCCATCTAGCCTTCTTGTTAGCTGGACATCAAGAAATGATAAGGTGTTGTCTTTCTCGCCATCATAATTAGACACAGTTTTGGGTGAGCCATGCTGAACGTTTGGAGAAGGACGTCGGCGACGACTTCGTCAGTATGCAAGATAGAAGTGTAGTCCATATATCTACAGTAAATTGAGAGTCTATTGATTACGTTTTTGAGTGGACGATTCTCTGATTTCGCCATAAACATACTACCTAAGAGAGGACCTAAAGGGGAGCCCATTGCTACACCTTCTACTTGGAGGCAAAATTCGTTGTTAAACTGAGTTTGCACACTTATCGTGCAGTGGAGTAGCAGTTTCCGTAGTATTTGAGGCGGTATACCTTCGTTCATATAATTTTCTATAAGAGATTCACAGATGAAGTTGATGGTCTCTAACAAACGGACGTTAGTCAACATGGAGGTGACATACACAAAGATCATTTTTCATTGTCGAGCTTCTTATCTCCTACTTTCTGCACAAATTCAAAAGTGTCCTTTAAACTATACTTAGCCACTTGTAGCTGCATTGGTTTGTGTGTGTCTGTCAGACGTGTAGCTGTTTCATGACATAGTGAGTTAAACATACCTAATACTGGTCTCATGGGCACACTGGTTTTATGAATTTTAGACAGCTCATAAATTCTAGGTATAATTGTTCTCAAAGTCTTTAGACGTTTGAGAATTCGGATGAATATCATATGACTGGGAAATTCTTTTTCAACTTTCTCTGTATCATCTTTGCCATTAAAAAGTTTTTGAAATTCAGTAGTCTCCTGTCGAATGCTATTCATCTTATCAATTTAGTCACCTTTATTTAATAGTACAATCGCAGCCCATCTATCTGGTGTTGTTATAAAAGAATCTTTCACATGTTTTTGTGGGATACCTAAATCTTTGCAAGAAAAAGAAATTGAAATATTCACCGAAAACAATGCAGAACTTTACAAACTATTAGTTGAGATACAAATATCAGAAAATCAATTTCCTTTCAAATATGGATTTCATTTTAAAAGAGGCTACATCTAGAAATAGTTTCATGACGTCTAAAGAGAAATAGCGTTCAGCACTATTAATAGTATTATTCCCTTACGTTCCAAGTGAGGCGTAGAGAGTCTTATTTTCTGCACTCATCTTTGCCTGGCTCTACGGTTGCTTGTAAACTCTCCCATGATATTCGCCATATCACTGGACGCCCAATATGCCATTTTCTATTTTAACTTAACTCGAGCGATGTCACTCAACTATCTCCTCAGTGTGTGTTTAGTCCGTCCCCATTTTCTTTGGAATACATGTTGAGCAATAGGTTCATGATTGGTTTGTTGTCAGAGTTATCTGTAAACAGTCCTGCAGTTGTTGAAGAAGGCCTGTAGCCAGCTGCTGGAAATGCTTTTGGTGAATTGTGAGCCAATTCTTTGAATCGCATAGAGGCAGTGACCGACTAACTATTGGTGTTGAAATCCGAATCTTGGTATTTATGCTGCTCTGTGCTGAAGATTTCCGCATTGATTTCAGATAGATCACCTGACAAGTGGCGTTGTTACATAGCCAGCTGTTGAATGAGGTTGATAAAACCTGGGTGCTGCACACTGTAGAGTTGAAGTAGCTTCCAAATTGCTTCTTTGTCAGCGTTTTCCAAGGCTTTTTCAGAGTTGATGAAAGTGAGGAAGAAACTTAGCTGTCATTCTATACTTCTTTGGACGACGATGCGCAGAATCATAATTTGATTAGCACATGATGTGCCTTTCCTGAATTCAGCCAGCTCGTTCTGGGCTGGCAAAGTTCTGCATCCAGTGCATCTTTCATTCTCTACAGCATTACGCCACTTAGTATTTTACTTGACGTGGACAAGGGCATTATTCCAATCCAGTCATTTTTTGCAGAGATCTAAGTCACCCTTCTTTGTCAGCTTGAGAAGACTGCCATCCTACCTTCCAGTCGGTAGGCATCGTTCCTTCCTTCCAAACCTTTTGGAATCATGGCATGAGCACATCTGCCACAAACTCTGGGTCCGTTTTCAGTGCCTCGGGGAGAATTCTATCTGGCCCTGCTGCTTTCTCAAACTTTCATATTGTCCATAAGGATTTTGAAGTAACTATTTGAGATGTTTTCCACTACTGTCTGTGATTGTCTGTAGGAATCTTCCTCCGTCTCTTGTTCCGCATCGATTGTAGTACTCTGCGTAGCATTGGATAATTTTAACCTTCCTGCCTTCCTTTTGAGTTGAATCTTGATGTCACCATCCTGCAGGAGGAGATTTGTTTTCAATGCATTAAAGCTTTGACTGCAACTGGTGACATCATTATAGCCACTCCCTCATTGTGGTCGTGGTTGTCGTCTGGGTGACCGGAGTAGATTACTGACTCACCAGTCGACAATTTTCTCATCCATCTCATCTGCTCGCGCAGATTCTCAGCATTTCTATATCGTATCTTCTCATAGTGAGAATTTATGACAGTCTGTACATATTTACAGATGTTTCTGTTAGAAGCATTGAGATTATGTAAGCACTCGCCGGCAAAGACAAAATTAATTTATTTCTGGGAGCGTCATCAGACACTGGTTCGCAAATCCTTCTTCCTGTTTGCTGAGTGTATATGTTTTGGCATATGCATGGAAATTGAGATATCTAACAAAAGGCAACATGTAAGGGGGACTATTTCAGTAAACAAAGTGTTCTATAAAGTGAAGTGTGACTAACTTAACGATTGTAAAAGTCTTCTTAGGAGCCGTGTTTATTCCAAACAGTTTGTCAACTTTGATTCTGAGTTTTAAGTAGAACGGATTTCCCTGTACTGTATTTGACATTTACGTTCATAATCACTGCTGTGTGTTTATCCACATGTTTCTGAGGATATACTACACCTCCTGGCTACTTTTCAATAATGGAGAGTTTGATACCAAATCTTTCCTCACCATTCTATTGTTTAGTTATTTAATATTAATTAAATACACCTCTATACTCAATAAGTGGATTAGTATGAGCATTGCTGCGTCTTTCTGATTGTATGTAAAGATGGAAAATTGCACAAAGATTTGCAGTATCCTCTTATTTGTATATACACTGTGGTCACTGTAAATTTATAGGAATCAATGTTATGATAGCATCAGTACAGCCAGTTATCTTGTACTCTGACGATGTTATATTCCATACTAACAAACGCTCAACGCATCTCATATTCTTATAGAAGAAGAAAGATTAGAATCTACTGGTAAGATTTTCTGTACTCTACAAGGGTAAATCAGTATTTACGAAGTTTCACAATGGTTTTCATTGGTTATTTATGAGACATAAATCTGTGATCATACTCGAAAGAAATCAAATCCCTTCAAACAAGCAAACAAACAAACTCTTGGAAATTAATCTGATGCTTGTTAGCGACTGGCAACAGGGCGAAGTTACCTGGAGTTCTAGTGTAAAAAATTGACCAGTAGGGCCGACAAGGTAAGCGGTGAGGATAAAAATACTTGACGGCGGAAGCTATGGGTCGTTGGCAATAGCGCTAAAATTACGAATTCGTAGAAGTCAGAATTCATGGCTGGCGAGTGAGTCCGATCTCAGTGGCTAAATGATTCACTAGCTAGCTTGGCTTGTAACTAGAACGCCCTGAGTTCAAACCCTATATGTGGGTGCGCACAGGTGATGGGTCGTAAACTAGTGGGACGAAACAGCTGTCTAGTCTTGCTTACAGGTTCTAAATTGTTCGTTACTAATATCGATCCGCGATCAAACTTGAATTTGAGAAGTAGTTGCAATTCCGTTTTTAAAACACCAAACAAATAAATGCATACACGAGTTTGATCACGAATTACTGTCATTTTTGAAAAGCACTGGGAAGCCATGAAGTGCAGGACACGTATTTTATCCCAGTTTGGGATTCACCAACTGGAGTTCAGATTCAGGATTTCGCAGTCACATGGAAAGTTCTTAGACCACTCAATCAATGGAACACGATGCAGTGGCTCATGAATTCTATCTTTTGCCAGTTTGTGACTTTAGCGCGGCTACTAGCTAGTGTCATTGACGAGTATTTGTCCTTGAGCTCTTCCAGGTGGATCCAACTGGTAGTACCGACTTCCCAGTTGGACTCTTGGCAATGTCTTTGCGTATATAGTCACTAGTGAGAGCATCAGATTAATTTTCAAGCGTTATTTTGTAGGGATTGAATTTTGTTTTCAAGTTTATCCTAGAGTTTGATGTCAGTTGCAGTTGTCAGTTGTGCAACGATTTCAACATTTGATTGACTCGGCTGTTTAAGCATTTTTCATCTTAACCAAGCATTATTATTGATGGTACAGAATCAGTTCAGTAACGCGTGTACATTGAACATGATTACTGATTCAAATGTTTTCAGTGTGTATCGAAATGTCACTTCTGCTCATGACTTATTTTTTCTAATTTAGAAAATTGACATTTTAATATTTGGTAGTTAAAAAATGTTTTGTCGTAATGTAAACACCAGGGACAATAAATATCCTGTAGAATGATGCATGTGATGACTGCAGAGTTCAGCATTATCATAAACACAAGTTTTTATCGTTCCAATCCTTTCTTGAGATAAACTGAATGCATAAATATATTTTTGTGTATGTGTTTAAACCAAGGTACATGTTGTACACTGTGTTCATCATGGCGATAACCGGAACAATATAAATAGTAATTTTTACAAATTAACAACTAATATTATCAAATTTTCTGGTAGAATTTTTAAAATTTTTATTTTGAATTCTAAACGAGACTGTTAACAAGTTGGAATTGCAATGGGAATACCACATTTGATTGTATATATTACATGTTCAATGGGTATATTACTAAACTGGTGTAGCGCAACACCATTTCTGAAAAGTCTACCCTTAACACTCCAACACTTGATCGTATATTGTCTAAAGTTGCAATAGCTGAACAATACAACCTAGATACCGTTAATAATAATAATGCCAAGCATATTGAACCAGAAACAATGCCAATATCTCCTGTACGATATGGTGGTCGACATAATCGTCGGTATAACCGTGATATGCGACGTCTTTTAAGAAGACAACGACGTATGATGAGACAACAACGCAAAATGTATCGTCGAGGTTATGGACCTTTCTATAGGAATCGTTTATAAATAAACATACACCGATGATTCCTCCTAGTAAGTTTCATAACAACAATATCGATTTCTTCTAATAGAACATTCTAACAGACTATTTTAAAATTGGCGCATATTATTATTTAAACAAAATAATTATTATAACTATTCCATTCAATGTTTCAATTCTTTTTATTACTCGTTTAATTATTGTTATTATTTTTATGGCATTTTTTTACACAAAGGTGTCATCTACTTATTATTGTGATGTTGTTAACTTTAACAGAAGTAGCAAGAGTTATTTGCATAGAAAATATTTAATTAATTATTTAATTACTTAATTATTATGCTACATTAATGAAGTGAAAGACATCTTGCTCAATTATTAAATTTAAACTGTGAGTATACGCCTTCCATTCTTTCATTGATCTCTGTAGGTGATTGGGATACCTCCGGATCTGTAGTCATAGATTGCTGGAATTCAAGGTGATTTAAAGTAGGTGAAAAGACTTAGGACATTATCGATTTCAAACCAGAAACCTTTGCATTGTCAAAATTGAGTCTTTTGACTCGATACTGGTATCCTTCCGTTATTTCTGTAACTCGTTCTACAGAGAATTCATAGTTCTATTATCATTCTTGATTATAAATACAATCGGTTCTTCATGAAATTTAATATGTTAGTAACCTTGAAGCTAAGACAGTTAAAATACACGTGATAAAAAACAAACGTGAGAACTTGTGTTGAAAATAAGAAGAAATTTGAGGTGAAGCCAATCAACTGGTGTCAGGTACTGCCAACCATAGGTGAAATGACGATATTAAAGGAAGATAAAGTCTCAGGTAAAATCAGATTGCGAAATATACATAATGGGTCATAGGAATTATTAAAACGACGGTTGCAGTGAAGAAAACTTTTTTTGATGAAGTCACTGTCAAATAGATAGCTGTACATTCGTGTATTTATAATAAATGGGTGGGAAATTTCAAGAATAAATTTCAATTTAGGGTCAGATTAATAAAATTACAATTAGGAATTACAGTGCCATCAGAAACAGGGGACGGATAAAACTCAAACAAAGTAGCATCATAGTTACTGAGAAGATTGAAATATTGTGAAATTGAGGGCGAAAAATGTAGAAATAACCTCGGTGTAGAAATGCGTCGGTGGCACAGTGGTTAGGACTCTAGCCGACCATGCACCTGGTCTGGGGTTTGGGCCTCTACCGACGCACACTCGATATCCATGATTGACCTGCAAAATTTGGGCTATCGATATCACATGCTGAAAATTCCACGCCTAAACAGAGAAATACGGTGTGGAAACAAGCTCTAATCAAAAAATAATAAACAGGAAGGTCGGATATGAAAATATGATAGTGTAAATAGGGATTAGGAAAAACGTATAAATAACACGAATAAACAGGAAGTTTGGATAAGAGAGGCAATGGGATGGTCATTACTAAAAGAATGACCTCTTTATGATGGCCATGGCGGGCAGGGACAAGGGTTTGACGTATGCCTTTTAAATACATAGCGTGTGTTTGAGCTTGCGGATAGCTAGTGTCTCGGCTATGCCCAGATGACTTAATTTTACTCCCTTTGATAGTTTCAATCGAATTTTGTATATGATTTGGAAGGAATTTATCAAATGGCTCTGAATGTCCTGAATTGGCCAGATGCTCTATCACTGAACTATTTACACGTTTTCGGTCTTCTTTTACTAGCCATGTTGGATATTGCTCACGAGCGCGTTTTTGAATTTGATGAGCGGTACGGCTGATGTATTCAGCTCTGCAAGAGGAAGTAAACTGGTATATACATGTAGAAGTGGCCCGATGCGAAAACTTGTCCTTCACGTTCTGCCTGAACAGTTTCTTGCAGGAAAACATTAGTTGTAGGCTTACGGGGAAGTATGTTTTCCTAAGCGATTTGCAGAGGCGTTTACGAAGGATTTCTGCTTCAATGTCACCTGTGAATTGTAGATTAAGCAGAAGCATTTTCTTCGGGACGAATTGAACTTGTTCAGAAGTCTTCTTTGTTTTGAGATTCTTGTCTATGAATCTGGGCTATAAATCGTTTTCCATCTGGGTTCATCAGAGATTGCTCAGTTTTTCATTAATCTCTTCCTTGCTCCATGTCTTCCGAATCCTCAAGGAAAGAGCGTATATAAGGTTCTTCTTTCCGCTTAGGGGCACGAAACTTTGAAAGTTGATGAATTGTCTATTCTATGTAGGCGTTTTGTATATGGACCTTTTCAGAGAGTTGTTGGCATTTTGTTGTCAGATGGACGTCGAGAAAGTGGAACATACCGTTGGATTTAGCTTCGAGAGTAAAGTCGAGGTTTTGGTGGGCACTGTTGAAGGTTTGAAGTAAGTGATGATGAATGTATCATCAATGTAAATCTCATAGAGACGGAAGTCTTCGATAGTTGATGAATGTTTTCTAGGCTAGCCATAAAGCCATCGGCCAGGAGGGGTCCTAGGGTAGAACCCATTGCTACTCCATCCATTCGCCTGAATTTCATTGTTGAAACTAAATTATACAGTGAAGGCGCATTGTAGTAACAGTTCTTTCAAGTAATGGATCGGTATACCGACATCGATGCCATTGGATTGATAAAATCAGATTGATTAGAAAGAACATCTTTGGAGCTGAGACAACGACAGGGATTTCATTGAGGTACTTTTATATAATATTAATAGTAGCTTTATTCCCGACAGTCTTTAAATAGTGTATAGGACTTTCAATGGAATTCACTGTATCATAGCTTCTCTTTGTTCAAGATCTTCAGGTAAAAGTCGTAATTGACGCTTGATCGCTTAACAGAATACTATCTGATTTGTAGCGAAAACTGATCCCTAATGGCTTTTCTTCTTTCTTTCCGTTGAGAAATGCACAACATTTGGTTGAAAGTCAACAAGAAAATTGTACGAGTCCCATCCAAAAATATAATTGAACTATATACCTTGAGCGGGTAGTTTTATTTCCTAAGGAGCAGTGGTTTCTGCTAAGAGTCTCAGGGACAGTTATCTCATGTATTAGAGTACATTCCTATACACCGTTATGCTTTTTCTTAAGTTTAGTAGAAATTTGTAAATCAGCACGTTGTAAGCTCTTTAAAAAATCGCAAGTATGAGAAATACCATTAGAAGTCATATTTTAAAATAGATTAAAAGAAAGTGGACAAAAGAAATTATATACGGCATAATGATGTAGGTTCTTAACACCCCAAGTTTTAGGCAGGCTGCCGGCAATTCGAGTTAAATGACTAGTAATTCAGATATCGAAGGATATGATGTAGATAACCAACCAACAGCGAAAACAACAGCCAGCACCAATCACCACTTAAGGGAGAGAGTTAACAGAGTCTAATTCCTACACTTATCTAGGCAGCAAGCATCATTCCAACCACAGCTGGCTGAACGGATGAAAATGTCAAGACCAGCTGGAGTCGGAAAGGCGAGATACGCCGTCATCAAGCTGAAACCGAATCAAAAATCTCCTGCAATCCGCCTTAGCATAAAGAAGAGGATTCAGATTTTCATCACGAATGTGAAAGTCAGTCACTTTTTCTATATGGGTTAGAAAATTGATCAGCGTGTCATAAACAGGATTTCCATTAAGTTACAGACATTTTTCGACAGCTGGTTGCCTTTGTCGGCTTCATACTGAAGATTAAATGGCCAACCGGCAAGAAAGAATCAGCGACAAGGAACTCTGGTTGGGAACAAACCAACCAAGAATCGATCGTTCAACAAATATGTAGGAGAAAATGAAGGTAGATCGGGCATGCGTTCATGTGACTGTCAAATTACATTGTGCGACAGGCCACAGCTCAAGCGGAACCCCAGTGAGAAGCGCCGAGTGGATTCAAGGGTGACGTAGAGGAAATCACGTGCGAGGAGGAGGAAATGGGAGATTATGAGCGAGTGTGATGCTAGTCACCTGAATGGGACAGCAAAAAAGAGAAGAAAGTGGACATGTTTTGTTGAAGCCTTATGTTCCACTCGGAAACCAAGGGAATAATAATAATTTCATACATAGACAAATAATGATAACATAGGCTTCTGAAATGATTTAATTTAGTCTTGCAGCTTGCTTTGTAAGATGTAAGATGAATTACAAGAGATGCTGTTCAGCCCGATTGGATATTGCATTTGAAAAGTGTTGATCTCATTCTATCTACACGTTTTTATCAACTAAGTTCTTTTGCGTTGCTTAATTTGCTTTTAGTGAACAGGGTTCAACCACACCACCAACTAAGATAGACAGTATACGTACTTCAAATATTGTTAGTTTAGATTAGGGGGTGCCACATATCCAGATCGCAGAGATCCTGGATCTATCTTTGGTTTCAGAAGACTGAGCCTAATGCGCAGAATGCTATACACTGTAACCGCTGCATAACAAATAAAACAGTTGGGCAACACGATTATTTATTCTTTATGCAATAATGAAGCAGATCCATGACATGATACACAACAATATTTCTGATCGTATTTCTCCAATTTTCTGCCAACCAGTACACGATTAAGGAATGACAGCCTTCTTGTCTCCCGCCAACAGAGACCAGTTCGATTAAACAATCTATTCAATGTTCCCCAGCATTAACAGGGGTCTGGTACGTCAGGCGCAAAAAAGCGGCGTGGAAAACGGTTTCCATTTATAACCGATTTTGCTATTCTTTATTATTCTCACAGAATCTAAAATACATAATAGGTTTTTTAAGATGAGATGATTTCGTGAGAAGTGATATATTTATATCGATTTCTGTAGAGAAAGAGTCTTTTAGCATTTCCATATTTAAACTGTGCACCTCTGACTGGTTTTTATTTCATACAGAGAGGGAATAGTCTGAAAATTCTAGAATATTTGGACGACTATTTGATGTATTTTTGAGAGTTTATTTGTAGGGAATTTATCTGTTTCAGTTTTGATCACGGATTGATGTCAGTTAGAGAACCTTTCCATTCCTGAATAGCCACCATCCAGACATTAATGAAAAATATGATTTCTAGTAAAATATTGTTTTC